CACACCAATGCATTTGATAATCTTCAGTGTTATTGGCATAAAAGAGAAGGCCGTGTTTCTGCCTGTGCCCTGCCATATTAGAAATAAAGGCAGTGAAGGTGACTGCATAGATTTCAAAACAGTGTGTTCAGTTACCAGGCATTGCATTTAATTAACCATACTGACTTTTGAAAATGGACACAACTCATGGGCTTTGACACTGTTCCAGCTGGAATCTTTATTTAAAGTGAGCCATTTCTAAGAGGTATTTAAATTCTGATGAGGTAGTCCACAGAGAGTTTCTCTCCATCCAAGAAGAATCAGCCAAGAATATTTTCTTTCCTCTTTGTTATTACTCTTCTGTCTCCCAAAGGGAGAAATCCAGCGTGAAACTGTTTTCAGTGGTTCTCCCTGCCTCTTGTATTCCAGGAAGGATACATCTCGAGGCAACAGGGGGCCCTGGTATTGGGCATGGTTACTGATAGTGTGAACCGCAAGCCTGTAGAATCATTTAAACGTCCTGAAAGGCAACTCCATCACTCCATCGTAGGTCTCAGTTCCAACCAGTTTAAACATCACATTTTAGCACAGACAACCTCTGAACACTTAGCTGGCTGCTTGTGAGAGGAAAATGTCTTAAGGGAAAAGAGGGGTCTTCAAGTCACAGGAGGCATAGAGACACCATTACCTGTCATGTCACAGGTTCCAGCCTTTTAGCCCAAAACCAGGATGGGTGGGACAGCTTAGGTTTCTATGTAATGAAAAGGAAGCCTGAGACATACACACACACACACACACACACACACACACACACACCTCTATAGCTAGTATCTAACACACACACACGCACACACACACACACACACTTTGGGCAAAGACAAGCGTGTTGTTAGGGCTAGTGCAACTTGTTCCCTAGGCATGTCCTGAATGTGGGCCACACAGCAGCTGCCTCCCCTTGAGACAGACTGCATGGGTCCCTGCCAGTGACCACAATGCCTCACTGGTCTTTGCCAGCTGTCACACTCTGCATGCTGTTAGAGCTCTGGGGCCATCCAAGTCACCAGCTCCAAAGAGTGCCAAATCCTATGCCCGTGTTGGGACCATACGGCCACCCGGAACTTTCTTCTGGGGCCCTCCACTGGAACGCCCTGACTATCATGTATCTTTGATGGGGGTGTTGTTTCTCCTCCAAGAAGGGGCTGATGAAGTGAGACCAAGGGTAAAAACATCCCTCAGGCATGTCCACAACGGAAGGGTCTCCTGGAGAGAAGTTTCCTGGTACCCTTGCCTGTGGGGTGGGAAACAGAGGGGGCACTCGGGCCAATATGACTCAAGACTGGGTTCTGTCTCTCTGTTTCATTGCCTAGGGCTCCTGTCTATGGAGTGGGCAGAGAAGAAGGCCAAAGGGAGGGCTCATCAAGGCACGCTGCTCCAATCTAGAACTTTGAACTAAGGGGTCCAGAGAGAAAGGATAGAACAAGGGCCTGCCAAGTTGGCACAGGGTTTCTGGGGGTAGTGCCCTGGGTGCCCACTCTTGGTGAGCACGACTCGAACCCACAACCTTGTCAGTGATGGCTAGACTTTGGCTGGGCACCCCATCAGCCACCCTTCCTCTTACAGCTCTGTCAGCTTCCTGTCTGAAGGAACTCACTAGTCCAGCCCTACCCAAGAGCCTCATTTTCTACCATGTTCAAGGGGGACCAGAAATCCCAGCTCTCAGGATCCTGTGAGAGCCAAATGCAAGCATCCATGGAAACATTTCAATCAGACTTCTCGGCCTAATGGCCACATGATTAGTGTCCTATTTCCTTGGTGTCTCTTTGCCTTGTGTCCTGTCTGCTGTGATTCGGTTTTGGATCTGTCTTCTTGGAACCACCCCCTCTCTCCCCAAGTGGCTCCTCTCACCTTGTCAGCCAGGCTCTTCTGGAGCCAGGGGACCCTACCAGCTTCCTCCTCTCTGCAAACCTGTTCACCCTCTTGGATGAGCACCAGTGGGCGTTTGCACATTTCAAGGCGGAGCTTATTACTGCAAACCGGTGGGCATTTCAAACCCATCAGAAAGAGGTGGGAACAAACGGGGTGACCCCCCCAGCTCTGAAAACCATCCCAGCTGGACAAGATGAGACCCACACAAGACGATCTCCGGGCTAGAGAGATGCTGCCAGTGGTCAGGCAGATTGAAGGAGGCAGACGGGAGACACGCCAGAGAAGAAGGCTGTGTGAAACTGCACCGGTGCAGGGTGTCGCAGGTTCAGCTGGAGGATGGAAGCAGAGGCTCGAGTGGGCCCGTGGGATGAGCGTTGATGGAAGGACACAACATGGGTGCAGCCAGGGGGCACCCAGAGCAAACGTCAGTTCTCACAGCAGACCCCCTCGACTTACACCAGCAGTTCTCAACCTGTGGGTCATGACCCCTTTGGAGGTCCTTACCCCTAAACGGGGGTCACCTAAGACCATCAGGAAACACAGATATTTGCACTAAGACTCATAACAGCATCAAGATTGCAGTTATGAGTTCACAACAAAAATAATCTTATGGCTGGGGGTCACCACAACTTGAGGAGCTGTATTAAAGGTCCCAGTGTGAGGAAGGCTGAGGACCACTGTCCTACACTGAGAGAGAGTACCATCTTTTGTTACACCCCAGATCTGCACTTTCAGCCGTCTCTGGAGGGAGGGTGCCATACCCACTGTTCAGCAGGTACCAAGGAGCATCTGTCACTACCGTGCACTTGAAGTAACAACCAGAGATGCCACTCTGAGCCTCATCTTGTTAATTAGTTCACACTTAAGTAACCACTGTGGCTACCGTCTTAGATAGCAGTTTAGATACCAAATGACTCCTCCTGAAGATATTCCTTGGTTCTCTGACAAGATGCAGACCTATGTCGGGCTTGTGTTCAGAGATGAAAGTTTTTTGTGTGTGTGGGGGGCGATTTTGAGACAGGGTTTCTCTGTGGCTTTGGAGGCTGTCCTGGCACTAGCTCTTGTAGACCAGTCTGGTCTCCAACTCACAGAGATCTGCCTGCCTCTACCTCCAGAGTGCTGGGATTAAAGGTGTGCGCCACCACCACCCGGCTCAGAGATGAAAGTTTCCACCAAGTAATCCTATTGTACTTGGGGAAGAGAAAGATTCGACCCCACCCCCAGCAGATAGGATGGCATAGGGTGTTGTTTTCCATCTGATAAGAGGCCAGAGAGGGCTTTGCTTGAGCAAGAGTCAAGCCACTGATAAAATGATGTCACATCCTCTGGGGGGTGGAGGAGAGACAAACCTAGCCCCAAGGATTCATCCTTATAAGACTTTTGGATCAGAGAGATGGGGTGAGAATGATGGAGAGAAACCATTCTATTGTCGCTATCAGGTAGCCAGACATTTCCTTCTCAGAACCTGATGGGAAATTTTGTACTTAAAAACACAAGCGGAATATACCCACATTCGTGGGAGCATTAGTAGCCATAAGGCTGAAGTCCTCCCCTGTGGACTACAGATCAGTGAAAGACACAATGGTCACAGGAAATGAAATATATTACGGGCAGCGCAGTATGCTATCCGGCTTTCATAAGGAAGGGTTCAGGCTGGGGCTGGAGCTCTCTGTTGGAGGAATGCTTGCACACAGTGCACACAGTGCTGGTTTCAGATCCCCACCAAAGCATAAACTGAGTATGGCAGAGAATGCTTTTAATCCCAGCATCTGGGAGGCAGAGACATAAACTTAAGGTTGTCTGTTTTCATAAATGTTGAGTTGGAGGCCAACCTAGGATACAAGAGGGAGGAGGAGAAGGAGGGAGAAGAATTTAGATGCATGCTATATCCAACATGGACGAAGCTTGAGTACATGTTAAGTTACCAGAAACGAGCCGGTCACTAAAGGACAAATCCTGCATGGTGCTGCTTAGATGGGATGCTCTGAACAAAATGATCATGTGGACACAAGCAGGGTGGTGATTGCTAAGGTGGAGAAGTGGTGGCTAATCTGGGTTGTCAGCTTGACAGATCTAGGAAGAGGAACCTCCAATGAGGAAATGGCCTCTATCAGATTGGCCTGGTGGGCGTCTCTGTGGGGCATTTTCTTTATTGCTAATTGCCATCGCCCACTGTACCAGCGCCATTCCTTGGCAGGTGGTCCGTGCTGTTTAAGAAAGGTAACAGAGAGCCTGGGGAAGCAAGCCAGAGATCAGCTTGCCCTGTGGGTCTCTTCTTGGTTCTTGCCTCTGTGCCTGCTAGAGCTTGGGTCCTGGTTTCCCTCAATGAGGAGGAGCTGTGATTGGCAAGTGTCAGCCAAAGGAACTCCTCCCCCAAGGGGCTATTGGTCTTGGTGTTTATCACAGGACAGAAAGCAAACTAACGCCAGCAGAGAGGTTTTTCTTTTTAATGGTTGTCAGAAGTTATAGAGGGTGTGTGTGTGTGTGTGTGTGTGTGTGTGTGTGTGTGTGTGCGCGCGCGCGCGCTGATGGCTTAAGTTTTGCAAAAGCAAATAGCTCTTGGAGATCTATTGGAAAACCGCGTGAACAAACAGGCATTCACACGGTTAAACTGTGCACTTAGAGATGGTATGTGTTATGTTATGTTATGAATATTTAACTACATGTTTTATTGATAGGCTCTCACTTTGTAGCCTAGACTGGCCTGGAACATGCTATGTAAACCTTGCTGGTCTCCTTCCTGACTGCTGTAGCAGTCTCAATTGCTTGGCTATCTGGTTGACCACATTTTACAAGGACAAGTGTAAAAGAGCGTGGGGTAGAGCGAGAGAGAAAACGGAGAGAGGAAATAGCCATTTTAGCCAGACCAGGGGAACCAAAACTATGAAATACCGGTGAGTGTTTGCCCTAAAGTACCCCCCTTCCCCTCCGGGGGCGGGTGCTGTGACACCCGCGCAGGCATCCAAGATAACTATCTCCAGCGACTCTGCGGCGCAGGCGGCCAATGAACACTCGCCTGTGGCCGGGCCTCGCTTCTCCATTGGCTGCACCGCACCAGCCTCGCTCCGTGCAGGTTCCCAAGCCGGGTTTAAAGGTCTCAGGCGCGCACAGCGCCGTCTCTGTCGTCCACCCGCGCGCAGATCCGCGGGGAGGGCGATCTGCCGACCGGCCCACCCCGGGCGTCAGTGAAGGGCGCCCTCGGTCGCCCCCGCCGCCCCCACCCCAGATGTATTATGCGGTTTCTCAGGCGCGTGTGAACGCGGCTCCAGCGACCATGCTGAGGCCACAGCGGCCCGGAGACCTCGGGACCTCGCTGTACGAACTGGTGGGTTACAGACAGCCACCCATTTCGTCCTCCTCTTCCTCCTCCTCTACGTCCTCCTCCTCTCCCACGGCGTCCCTCCTCCCCAAGGCTGCGCGCGAGAAGCCCGAAGCGCCTGTCGCTGAGTCGCTGGGAACCGCGCCGGAGTCCCGGGGCTCCAGGGCCGACGCCAAAGAGGAGCAGCAGCAGCAGCAGCAGCTGCGGCGCAAGATCAACAGCCGCGAGCGGAAGCGCATGCAGGATCTGAACTTGGCCATGGACGCGCTGCGCGAAGTCATCCTGCCCTACTCGGCGGCGCACTGCCAGGGCGCGCCCGGCCGCAAGCTCTCCAAGATCGCCACGCTGCTGCTCGCCCGCAACTACATCCTGCTGCTGGGCAGCTCGCTGCAGGAGCTGCGCCGCGCGCTCGGCGAGGGTGCGGGGCCCGCAGCCCCGCGCCTGCTCCTGGCCGGCCTGCCCCTGCTGGCCGCCGCGCCCGGCTCTGTGCTGCTGGCACCCGGCGCCGTGGGGCCCCCCGAAACACTGCGCCCCACCAAGTACCTGTCACTAGCGCTCGACGAGCCGCCGTGCGGCCAGTTCGCTCTCCCCGCTGGTGGCGCAGGTGGCCCCGGCCTCTGCTCCTGTGCGGTGTGCAAGTTCCCGCATCTGGTCCCTGCCGGCTTGGGCCTGGCGGCGGTGCAAGCTCAGTTCTCCAAGTGAGGGCTGGCTGGGCCCGGGGCGGGGCGCGACCTCAGTCAACCTTCCGGCGCCCTAGCGTTCTGGATCTAAGGAGAGCTGGACCCAATAAGGAGGACATTTCCAGATTTCTCCCCCAGACGACAGACTGTAGGGCGCCTTCATCCCTGCCCCCACTCCCTAACAATTAAAGTGACCCAAGCAGGTGTTCCAAGGAGCGACGCAGTTGTTCGGGGTTCTAGATAGAGCCCACCTGTTTAGAGCCAGAAGCCCTGGCATCCTTACCTTAAGCTCACCAAGTGGTGGGCGTGATCCCGGGTCTCTCCGAGTAGCCGGGGCATCGCGGGGCTGGGAGGAGGGTAGTCGGCGGTGCGGCACAGTCGGGCTGCCCACGACCTCGGCGTCCTGGGATCCGCCAGCTCCCAGGCCTTGGGACTGCTCCCCAACAGCGTTGACCACCCCCGGGGGGAGGGGGCTTCTTTTCTTGTCCCTGGCCTGAGCTCACAGGCTCTCTTGTTCCCGCCAACCAAATGCATGCGGACCCAGGAGATCTAGAAAGGCCAGTCCATGGGTACAAACAGCAACGGTGTTGGCGCATGGACTGCCCTGGAAGGACCAGAGTTTCAGGACAGGGTGCAGGTGGGAGCACCAAGGTCATTGGGAATGCGGGGTGGGAAGTTCGCCTGGCCGCACAGTTCCGTTTTTCATAACACCCAGCTGTTCTGCGGCGGGGTATTCACTCCTTAAGTCCTGGACATCTACGTCGTTTCTTTTCCCACAAAGGTGAGTTTAACCAACATTTGAGCTTGCTCGAAAACAACACACCAATCACCTTTCGTGGCATCTGTGTTCCGGACTTACCAACATAGGTAACAAGGCGTTTCGTAGCTGCAGGCTTGTGACACTCGGTAATTAATGTTCTCATTAAAGTGTGTGGCGGTGGGCGAGGATCCCAAACCGCCGGGCTGGACAAACCCAGCTGCGCCGCAGGCGGGAAGGCGCTGGCCCTTGAGCCGCGCTGGTCTTCGACCACCGCCTTGCCGCTGAAGAACTCCGTGGATGCGTGCACCCGTGGGCGCCGCGTCTTGGTTTGCGTTTAGTGTTAGGAAACTGCCCACGATTATCTCCCAATCTTCACCAGCTTGCTTTGATTTTTACGTTGGCAGTTTTGGGTTGTTGACAGTAGTCGAATTTAACTGGCATTTTGTTTGACCTCTAACTTTGTCGCTGCCCCATCTCCCACGGACTGTACCGAAGACACAGAATAAAACGTCAACAGTCGAATGTTTACGTTTCTCGTCTGTTTGTTAAATAAAACTATCCTTGTACCACGGCTGAGTCTCAACGCAGGGGTGAAGGTTTCTAGTTAAGTGTCAGGTCTCTACATTTTAAGACTTGAGTTCCTGGGTTGTAAAATATCCCAATGAACAAGCAGCTGTAATTCAAATTCAGACATCAGCTGGAAAGAGAAGGGCTATGGGTGGGTGATTAGCGGAGGGAAAGGAAATTCCAGAGACTGGTGATTGACCAGACTTAGGAACTAGGTCTCCTCTAAATACAGCTTTGTCCCGGTGGGGAAAAATGAATTAAGCCATACATTATTATATTTTTTATTTCAACATCTTTCTCTGAAGTCTTTTTTTTTGTCTTGTAGCAGACGAACTCATAAACAGATGTATGAATGCTCCCCATCTGTAGGAGTTGGTTTTTTCGTGGTTTGTTTGTTTTAAAGCAGGACATGGACACAATTTAGTTCCAAATGAGCAGAGCTCTGGGGTCCATCAAACCAACTGTAAGAATTCTGGGTACTATGAATTAAGTTTGGCTGTGTAGCCCTCAAGAGTTGGAGGTAAGAGGTTACCTTGAGTTCAAGGCTAGCTCGGGATACTGAGCCCCTGTCTCAGGAGAAAAGAAAATAAAATATTTGGAATGCTGACTTTTTCACATGCTGGCTCTGTCAGTGCCCATCCCCCTTTAGGTGAGGGAACTTCAAGGAAGCCAAGATGGTAGATGAGGTGATTTAGTTTTGTACACATGGGCTCACCTGGGTCATGCAGATGGAGAAGAGGAACTGTCTCTTTGAGAACACACAGAGGAGGCTGGAGAGATGCTACTGCCTCTGTCCTGAGGGAATCCAGACTCCCAAGGGAGAGCAGCTCTGCTGGCCCTGCCAGCTGCCAGCCAGGGCAAGGAGGCTGTCCCTCCCAGACTCTGCCATGGGTGTTTATTTAAATGTTAGCCTCCTTTCTCTCCTCTTTCCCTGCCTACCCTTGCTTTCCTTGTATCCTGATGGGAGGCTGAAATGGAAACAATTCAGCTGCTAAAGGTGAGAAAGAGCTCAAAGCCACGTTGCTAATTTAGAAACAGTTCCTTCCAGCCCCTCCTCCAGCACCACCGCCCTGCACCTTACAAAGTAGGGAGCCAGTGACTACCAACACTGTCTCGTCCTCTTTCTCCAGGTGTAAGTGGGACAAGCACCCACACCTTACTGGAAAACACAGTGTGGAGAGCAAAGGCGGCATAGCATCCCTGTGACAGAGGACCCTTGGGGCACAAGGTTCAAGCTCAGATGCACACAGTGGAGAGCAGAATGGCTTCTAACACTGCAGTGCTCCATCGTGTTGGCAGGGGAAGGCGCTGAAGTCCCACCTCCCTTGGCCTTGGAGTGGGCTAAAGCAACAGCCTACCCACCTGGCTTTTATGTGGCTTTCACACTGGACCTACAGACCAGGGTTTCCACACATGCAGCAAGTACATCATCTGCTGAGTCATTTACCCAGCCCTAAGTTTAATGGGCCTTTTTTGTTTTAGATTTTTTATGAATGTGTTTAAATTTATTTTGTGTGTATGAGCATTTGTCCACGTGTGTGGACATACATGTACATCACAGTGCCCTGGAGGACCTGAAAAGCGTATCAGATGTCCTGGAACTGGAGTTACAATCAACTGTGAACCTCCAAGGGAGTGCTGGGAATTGAACCTGGGTCCTTTGGAAGAGTAAGCCAATGCTCTTAACCTCTAAGCCATCTTTCCAGGCCTAGATTATTTAAAAATAGTGTGTACATGTGTGCGACTGTGCAGGGGTATGTGCAGCTGCATTCAGACACCACTAAGGCCAGAGGGGCTGGATTTCCCTGCAGCTGGAATGACACCAGTGGGTGCTAGGAACCGAACTTGGGTCGTCTGTAACAACAGCACACATTCTCAGCTCTGAGCCTCTGGCGGGTTGGCTCTTTTCTCCCTTTCAATCTTCACTAGGTGTCCACATGTGGAGGGGAGGCTGTAAACAAGTGCTTAGACCTTGCGTCTGCTAGCTAACTGTCCCAGCACACCGTGTGGTTGGTAATGGAAGCCAGCTGGAAGGAGAACTTCCCCTCAGCCACAGAACAAGGTGACAGTTGGGATGAGTGGCTAAGTGGATGCCCTGACCTGCCCTGGTAGACGCGGCATTGCCTGGAATAGGATACATCCTTCAAAAAGCATTTTTCTTGCTGTTCACTGATTTCCCCACATTCATTGGCATAGCTCATGGAGCAACAGCTTGAAAAATGTCATTTTCCTTAAGCAGGAATTGACTTTCAATAAGCAGAGTTTAGCAGTAAGGAGTTCACTTGAAATTATTGTTTTTCGAAAAGAAAAATTCCAGGGCTGGCAGTGTAGCTCAGTGGTAGAGGGCTGGCTGAGCGTGGACAAGGCCCCAAGTTCAATTCCCAGCACAGAACGAAAGCAGAAAGGTGGGGGCTGTTTTACAAGGTACAAGGCTTGAGAGCAGACTAGCAAAGCATCCGTTCATGTCACAGAGACTAGCAAAGCATCCGTTCATGTCACAGACACTCGTGTGATTACGAGCATGGGGCTTTCTGGCTAGCGACCTGCCACACCCGCACACATCAGGGAAGAGGTACTCCCAAGTTAGGGACTGTTTCCACGGCTTCATCAGACTGGCTTGTGGGATGATGATGGCTGGGCTTAGGAAGAGCCCTTCCCCGACCTGGGCTGTGTGAGACAGGAGCAAGCCAGGGTTGCCAGCAAGCAGTGTTTCCTCAGGGGTCTCTGCTTCAGTTCCCACCTGCAGGCTCCGGCCTTCATCTCCTACCCCTCCCCCATCCATGATGGCCTGTGACCCGGAAGTGAAACAAACCATTTCCTCCCTCTTTGCTTTTAGTCAGTGTTTTTTGTTTGTTTTTTTGTTTTTGTTTTTGTTTTTATCACAGCCAAAGAGAAAAGAGATGCTAACAAGGGCAGGCAATATGGGGTTGGTTTTTAAAGAGACTCCTGTCTTAACCAAACCCAAGAAAATGGAAATCCCGGGGTGGAAGTCAAGTCAGCCTTTCTGCTGCTGTGGGATTAACTGTTCTGTCTAGAAACTGCTCCTTTGCCTCCCATGCTGCCTCAGGGCCATCTTGGGATAACCAGCTCAAATACTCCAAGTCGCTAAACACTACGGACCAAAGGTAGTAGGAGCCTTTGTGGATGGTGCTTAGATTAAAAGTAGGAGGGGACCCTTCTCCCTCCTGCTCAGCCTTCCACAGTGAGCACAGAGGACAGGGCAGGAAGATGCCTGTGGCCCAAGCCAAAGAATGCAATTAGCAGACTTTCCTTCAAATCCTACAGAGTGCCTCAAGATGTGAGGACTCACAGGCCACCCAGTCTCCTCTTCCCTGCCGACGGAAGTCACAGGTGGTCACAGGGAGGCCAGAGTTATCCTCCTGGTCTCTCCCAGTGAGAAAGAAAATGGGGACCCAGGTGAGGCTCCGACCCCAGCCTGAGCACATTGTTCTTGATCCTCTGGATTATCTCTGACCTCTGACCTTTTGCAGCCTCTCCACACAGTCCTTGGTCTGACCCTGTGACTGGTACCCACGAGACAGACTTGGGGCCAATCCCTTGCCAGCCAACCTGGTTGCAGTTGAGTCACCCAGACTTTCTGTGGCAGCCCTGCTCCCATTCCCCAGGGAGGCCCGGATTAGTCACAGGGAGTATCAGAGGCAATCCCTGGGAGAGATGCTCTGATGGTGACATGTTTGTCATCAAGGTTTCAGAAGGCAACTTTGGGAGGAAAAGGAGACAGCTGGCAGCCACAGCAGCAGGGTGGGGGGTGCCTTGGGGAACAATGCAAGGGTTTCTCTTTAGTGGCCTCCTTTCCATGTCTCCATCGTGCTGGCCCTGATGGGGGCCATTTTCTCAACAAGGCGGGCATGCTCTGTGCTTCGCATAGACAAGAGGACTTCTCCAAGATGCTCCTCCGTAACTGGGAGCCCCAGCTGCAGCCAACCAACCACCCAGGAACAGAAGCTAGATATGCCTGAGGCTACACCTGGACCCTGGACCTGGCACGAGTCACCGGTAAGCAGTGGGCCCAGGAAAAAGTTAACCCTAAGTCCCAAGAAAGGGACCTAGGCTAGCGTGTTCCCAAGGCTGCTAGGCAGCGTGGGTAGTGTTAGATGTTACAACCGAGAGACTTCAAAATGACAAGGTTGAAAAGACTCATCTGTGAGTTCAGAGAGAGATGGATAAAGAGGGGAAGGAGGGAAGGAGGAGGGAGGGAGGAGGAGGAGGGAGGACTCCAACTCACTGGAGATGAGCAGACACGGGGAAGAAGACGAGAGCTCAGGTATGAATGGCTGAGTGGCACCTGCTGCTAACAAAGGTGACAGTACCCATATGAGCCAACACTGTGTTTACTGGGTGCCAAGAATCCTCCAAGCGTTTACATGCTTCACCTCGCCTTGTAGGTGCTCATGTTACCCTTCCCTTACAGGCAAGAGGTGAGCAGGACAGAGAAAGGGAGCCAGGCTCATCGAGGGCTTTCTAGAAGCCTGGGCGGGAGCAGGTTATCCTCCTGCTGTCACAGTAGCGCAGGGAGATGTCCTTTTCCCTCCTTTTCCTCAGCTTTTGGGACAAGGTTGTAGCAACCCCGGTCTGCGCCCTAGACCTGGCTGTGATCGCTTCTACTGCTCAACCTTCTGATGAGTGTGGCCCTAAGATTCCCACAAGGCCCAGCAGCGCCCACGCCAGAGATTCACCCCTTCCTGTCCAGAGGTCACGTGGTGGGTATTTCAAGTCGTCTCACTTTGCGCATTCCTTGAGTGGTTAAAAAAAAAAGTTGTTTCACGTTTTAAGTTCCAGTCCCCATATGTCCCAGTCTGGGCTGGGGGAGAATGGTTGACATCAGATTGTGCAGTTCTTCAGATATTAGGGTTACAAATGGAACGGAAGGTGGACTCACCTTCCCCAAATCCTCTCAAGACATCCGTATCCCTGGCCCTACAGAGGCCACTACA